CTACTTGCAAAAATTATAAAGAAATATGCTGGCCTGCAAAAACAAAAAAATACCTCTAGACCGTTCCAAATTCCCCATTGCCTCCTCTAAGATATGTCTGACAGCTGAAAGTAAACTAGTCTTTGCAAGCATTAAATTGCTCATCAAACTTACAAAGGGTGTCATTTAGTCAATTACCTTCCCTAAGGAAATATAAATGGAATATAGCTGCCTGAGAAAAATTAATTCACCCAACTCCTGTAAGTAGCTCACTGAGAACAGCTTCCACCACTCCAGGATATCTGAGCCATATTTCATTCCTAGTTTCACCAGAAAAAAAATGTTTTTTTACCTTTTTTTTTCTTTTTGGATTTGAATTTTTTTATTTTTTTTAAAGATTTTATTTATTTATTCATGAGAGACAGAGAAAGAGAGGCAGAGGGAGGAGCAGGCTCCCAAGGAGCAGGGAGCCCGATGTGGGACTCGATCCCAGGATCCTGGGATCATGACCTGAGCCGAAGGCAGACGCCCAACCATCTGAGCCACCCAGGCGCCCGGATTTGAATTTTAGCTGACTATTGCAGTTAGGTTTGTAAGGAGTTGCAGCCCAATATTAAGCAGGCATAATATCACCCAAAGTTTGGACTATGAGAGAACTAAGATGTAGAACCTTTTCTTGTATCTGAAAATATGAATGTTGCCTCCATATCCTATCAAACTCTCCTAACACTCAACTCACATCGAGGTATATGATGGTTGAAGAAGGAGAGGAAAATGCTCAGCATGGAAATATAAAGTAGGCACAGGGAATAGAAGTAACTGGCAGGGGAAATCCAAATTCAGATGCCTTCCGGAACCAAGCACATAGTGTGAACACGCTCAGCAAATTTATGGTAAGAACAACAGAGTAAGGGGGATGATAAAAGGCAGCTACTTCTAAGGTCAGTGTGCCAACTACTCCATCCAGAAAATCGTTACCATGCAAGAATGTAGAACCAGTGTCATATTTTCTGATTGTTCAGAAGGCAGCAGGAACCCAGATTTTTTACATAAAATTACCCCAATGTTGGCAAGTTATTAAAATTAGAAGAAAAAAAAAACAACAAAACTCTGTGCCAGTGAAATACAAAATGAAAGGCTGCTAATTTATGATCTCTGGAACAGAGCTGGGGTATAAAAAAATATCATAAAAATACATTCCTAAAACTAAATCCCTACTTCACACTCACTTTTAGTAACCGGATTTCTGTATGAATCCTCTGGGTCTGAGTACTTATATTAATGATCAGATCAGGTAGGTTAAAAGCTCAAATGCAAAAGCAACAGCAACAACAAAACTGGAAGAAAATATAAATGAATATGCATCAAATCTTTGATTTGGAGATGACTCTTAACTATAATAATTAAAGAAATCACAGAGGAATTTTTCATCTATAATTTAACAAAACTTAAAAGCATTTATTGTGAAAAATGCCTTGTGACCAAAATTAAATGTAAAATAAAACCTGGAAAATATTTGAGCCAATATAGTAAAGGGCTAATAGTCTTTACTATAAAAAACAAAACAAAACAAACAAAACCCTCAGAAGTTGATAAAAGACACAAAAAGAACAGATTCTAGCTTCTTATGGACAACGATGGTTTGCTGTTGCCGACTGCTGGCCCAGTTCAAAGCAGTGTTCCCGGTGAGACTAGTGCCGAGACATCTGCCAAACCACACAAGTTCAACACAGTAAGCACTGGAAAACCTAAAAAGCCCCAGAGAAAAAGGAGTGCCACAGAAGATCCAACAAATAGAAGAATTCATACCCAAGGAACTAGAGATTTTAAAAATATGAAAAGTCCTGTTTGGAGAAATGTCTATTTAGCTCTTCTACTCATTTTTAAATCAGATTATTTGGGGCTTTTTTGTTCAAAATGGCCAACAGACACAGGAAACAATGTTCAACGTCACTAATCACCAGGGACATGCAAATCAAAACCACAACGCAGTATCACCTCACCCCTGTCAGAATGGCTATCATCAAAAAGACAAGAGGCAACAAATGTTAGCAACGATATGGTGAAAATGGGGCTCTTACACACTTTTGGTGGGAATGTAAACTGGTCCAATGACTATATGAAAGAGTATGGAGTTTCCCCCAAAAATTAAAAATAGAAATACCCATACGATCCAGTAGTTCTACTACTGGATATAAACCCAAAGAAATGAGAAGAGGATTTCAACAAGATATATGAATTCCCATGTTTATCACAGTATTATTCACAATAGCCAAAATACAAAAACAACCCAAATGCCCATCAATGGATGAATGGATAAAAAAGATACCATACATATACATAATGGAATTTTATTCAGCCATGAGAAGGGAGAACATCCTCCCACTTGTGACAACATGGATGGACCGTGAGCACATTATTCTAAGCAAGATAAGTCAGAGAAAAATGAGTACTGCATGATACTTGTAAGTGGAATCTAAAAAAGTTAAACCTGTAAAAAACAGTAAAAATTTTCTGGTTACCAGAAAATTGGGTGGTAGGGGGGTAAGAGTAATGGTGTTGCAAAGTGTACAAACTTATAACAAGTAGTAAATAAGCAATAAAGATCTAATTTACAGTATAATTAATATAGGCACAAATACTATACATAATTACATAATGTGATAAATATTGCTACATCAGCAATCATATCACAATATATAAATGTATCAAAGTAATACCTTATACTCCTTAAATTTATACAATGTTATACACCAAATTTATTTTTAAAAAAGAAAAATGAAATAAAATATTTTTAAATATATGAAAAGAACTGAGAATTAATTATATTGAAATCCTCAAAGAGATAAATGAAGGAATAATGTCCATGAGGCAAAGAACAGAACAGGACAATATGAAAAGAACCAATTGGAAATCTTGGAGATGAACATAGAGTCATTGATTTTTTTTTTAAAGATTTTATTTATTTATTTGACAGAGAGAAAGATAGCAAGAGCAGGAGAACAAGCAGGGGGAGTGGGAGAGGGAGAAGCTCCCTGCTCAGCAGGGAGCCCAATGTGGGGCTCTATCCCAGGACCCTGGGACCATGACCTGAGCCGAAGGCAAACGTTTTACAGCTGAGCCACCCAGGCACCCAATATTTTTAAAATAATAATAATAATAATAAGATGCCCTAAATGGCATGACTGAGACAGCCAAAAAGAAAATAATACTCCCCAAGAATTCACTATTAACAAATTAAGACATAGCAAATAATGCATATCTAATGAATTCCCTCCCCAGAAAAATTCACTTATGTACCTACATACAAACCCTACTTTGTATGTAGGTTTTTATAAACAACTCCCAGAGTCTTTGAACCCAACTTCTACCCTAGACTTCTGAATGCAAAATATCTTAAGAATGGAACTCTGTCCCACTCTATTAATACAATATTAATACAATAAAATACTGGTTCAAGGTATAGGAAACGGGCTTTAAATTTGAGTTAGGATCAAATCAGAAAGAAGTCAATTAAATCTGATCAAGAAACAAAGAAAGTGTCCTGAATCTTCCTAAATATTGTTATGAAACTCAGGTAAAAATAAGGTTGAGAAAATCAGTAACTATCAGTAGTAAAGGAATTCTAGTGTGTATTAAAATTGGTTAATTATAACGTAATAATTATCATTTTAGATGCAAATATGATTTTAAAGTTCAATTTGGCATCCCAAAATGTGACAGAAAAAGTAGAGCGTCTGTAACAGGCAAAAACCATTTTTTAAAATGTTAAATGATCAGTATGGGAATACAAGATTGGTGGAGTTTAAGAGAAGCTAAATTGCTCTGAGTTAGAAAAGGTGAGAGATAAAGAAGCCTGAGGGGAAAATCTGGAGATGTTGCCTAGAATAAGGGAAATTTTAAAGACTAAGCGGAAAAGAGCAATTAAATAGAAAATTCACTGGTTGATGCATCGTGATTTGGGGTGAGCTTCACAGAGCTGTCTAACGGCAATGTAGGTGACACATGGTATAAGCTGTCTGATGCCAATCCCACGATATCTTTGGGAAAACCTACACATTGCTCGGGTTTTTTTATACGTTTGTTTTTTAAACAGGATCAGGAGAGGCAAGGAAGAGCACAGAGTTCTCCTTCAACGTTGGCCTAACCTAAGTACACAGAGAACATATGGAAAGCTAGCCAACATCTGTGTTACACAAGAAACTCTTAAATTTGTCCTTTGCTATTAACCCAAATGGAAATGTTTGGTCCTTATCAAAACTTCGATGGAAGATAGCTCTCCAACAGAGATTCTGAAAACACAAAAATCTTTCTTAAAATAGACGTGAAATGTTTCAGAATATAAATTCAGATGACATACTGAATATCTCCCGTTTGAGATAGCTAAGGTCTTGAAGTAAGGTAAAATGATGACTTCTCTGAAAACATCTAGTGAGAATTTGGAAAGAAAATTGTGTCTCTGGAACATTTTCTTTAATGCATTAATAAACTTCAGTATTAAGTATACTTCTACAGGTTTTCTTCAAGCTGATATGGAGAGAAATTATCTTGGTTGAAGACCTTGAAATATTTAAATACAGGTATTTATCTTCTTTGATTACTTCTTCTTTGTTACTTCAAAAGTATACAAATCAGGTTGTCTTGAAGTTCACAATTGTATTTTATTTTTAAAATTTTTTTGAAGTTCACAATTTTATAAGAATAATGCCTGGGTTTGAAATAGCACATTTGCATCACAACAGATCAGATTCCTTTGAATACATTCACACAGCAGAATAGCCCTGTTCTGGTTTAAAAAAAAATCTTCATTTGATGTATACACTTTCCACTTGGAAACATAATTGTGTATGAGTCTGTCTCAATCACATGCCATCTCCCTGATAAGATGGTAGAAGCATTCATGTATGAATCTTTGTTTCCCCCCCAAAAAACATGTTTCCTTTGGGGAAGAAATTGAAGGACAAGTTTTCAATCTTTGCAGGCCACCTAGACCTTATCTTCTCAGAATGAAACTTTTTGGCCTGGAATATTCTATTCCTAATTCCTAATTAAAAGCAGCAAACATGAAAATGCCTGGTGTGGAATGCTGTGTTCATAGAGGCCTTCGCTGGAGAAGATGCTTTCTTCATATTCATGAAATAAAATTAAACTGGAATGAATTTTGAATCGTTTCAAGACTTCATTATATTTAAAGCACAAAAGTATAAAAACCATAGGTACTAAAATCTTGACTGATAAATATGAATAGTAAATATGTTCTATAAAATTTCCAATATATTATTGCCAAAATAAAATATTTACAAAAATATGTCATTGAGAAAAATATATACAACTAGCCCTAAATATCTGCCAAAAGGAATGATGCTAAAGAAATAAAAACTAAAGATAGTAAGTAATCTTTAAATGGTACTCACCAATCACAATTGAAGACTCACAGTGATAATAACCATTACTTTGTTTTTTCTTTAGCATGGAGCAAAGATCTATGCGATGTACCATTTCTTCTCCAAATCTGTGACTGATAAATTTTTCATAGAATTCAGGGTCTATTTTTTTCACTCCCTTGAAATGACAAAACAAAATCACATCACTCAATCATTCCACCGAGGCAGCTAGTTCATATTTATTATCACTTTCTTAGAACCTGATATTACACTTTGGTATATAGTTCTGCCTACTGGCATTTGAAAATGGATACCACAAAATGGTCGTAAAGCTATTTTTAAAGTCTCCCTGTCTAGGATGAGTTGTATTACCCAAAAAAAAAATCATTAAAGAGTGTGGGCTTTAAATTTGGCAGCATTCAGAACTTCATATACTTTAAGCTTCTGAAATAATAAAGTATATCAAGTTGAAGTCTGAGGTATCAAAAAAGAGTAATCAACAACAATGAAGAAATGGATGAATTTTTAAAAAGTGATATAGATCTTAACATTTTATAGTGTATAAAGTGTTTTAATAAGATTAATGCATTTTTAAACTCCTTCCTTAAGAATCATTTGAAGACAGTTAAAGGTTATTTGAATTGGAGGAAGGGGTCAGTGATCTTCCAAGTCCTTCTCTACCTGCCTCTCCTTGTTCTCAGTATCTTTCATAGCAGGAAAAGGGCTGATTGGTGAAAAATAACAGTGGAAAACATTGTTACCTCTGTAGTTTCTCAAAACATGGGAATGAATGTCCCCCCACTCTTTCCTATGCAATGGTCCTGCACCCAGCCTCATAGTCCCAAACACAGTCCATAAGATGAAGATACAATACCTTACAGGGCAAGTTTACTTGCTGATCATGTGTGAACTTTTCCTTTTAATTTATAACTTTTAAAAATTTTCTGGCAATACTTGTTTGTTAAAAATAAGAAAATATGAGGAATCTAGGGGCACCTGGGTGGCTCATTCAGTGGAGCATGCAACTCTTCATCTGGGGGTTGGGAGTTCAAGCCCTACACTGGGTGTAGAGTTTACTTAAAGAATAAAAGCTTAAGAAAAAAAAAAAGAAAGAAAAAGAAAATACGAAGAATCTAAAAAAAAAATCATGTCCCTGCCATTTACAGAAAATACATTAATACTGTGGGTACATCTTTCAGGTCTTTTCTTTCTTTTTTTTTAAGTTATTTATTTATTTGAGAGAGAGCAATAGGGCACGAGATAGAGACAGAGAGGGGTGAAGGGGCAGAGGGAGAGGGAGAAGCAGACTCCCCGCTGAGCAGGGAGCCCGATGCAGGACTCAACTCCAGGACCCTTAGATCATGACCTGAGCTGAAGGCAGACGCTTAACTGACTAAGCCACCCAGGCAACCCCCTTGGGGTCTTTTTCTATGCATACATATATTATATTTAGATTATATTTATATAAATCTTATTAAAATGTAGGTAGAATATATATTTTCCCTTTTTATTCACAAAAAGTTTTGACAAAAATTTTAAAAAGATATAAAAACAAAAAATTTAAAATTAAATTGCCCCACACTGCAACTACTATAATTTTGTTACATATTTTATTTTTCCTATGCAAAACAAAGTACTTTTTTCTTTTTTATAGGAATGTGGTTGAGCCATGAGTACTATTTAGCAATCAGCTTTTTTATGTTAGTATGTCAATAAATAATATACAGATGTGCAAAATATTTTTAATATTTTTAATTTTAACTGCCCCATACAGTTCCCATACTCCACTGTATGGGGGCATCATTAATTTATTCATCCAGTTATTTATTGTTAGACATTTAAGTTGCCCTTAATTTTTAATATTGTATTTAACATGTTTTTGTTGATACATGTTCTTTTTCTGTATCCAAACTGAGCTCCATTCACAGACTTTCCTAACTTTAGCTCCACTCATAGACTTTCCCACCTCAGTTAACTGTAACTCTATTCCAGCTGATCAGGCCAGAACCCTGGGGTCACCCTGAATTGGCCCCTTTCTTGCAATGCTGCCTCCAAGCCAGTCTTCTTGGCTCTACCTTCAACACGTGACTAATTCTCACACCTCTCTTGCCGCCTTTGTCCGAGCTTCCTCTGTTTCTTTCACCTGGATTATCCTAATAGCCTCCTGTTTTCCCACCTTTGCCTCATCTACAGCCATAATTATCCTATAAAAACATACACCACATCAGGTCACTCCTCCACTCAAAATTCTCCAAAGGGTCCCCATTTCTCTCAAAGGAAGAACCAACTTCCCCAGGACAGCCCACAAGGTCCTGCTCCATCTGCTCAGTATTTCCTGGGCCTTGTCTTCTACTCCTCCCCCTTGACCCTTCTCTGGCCTCAGCCTCGACTCCGTGCCTTCCTTGATCACACCAGTGCAAACCCACCTCAAAGCCTGTGTACCCCTGGTTTCCTCTCCCGGAAATGTTCTTCCCCCCGATAGCCTCATGACCAGTCTCCCACCTCCTTGAAGTCCTTGCTCAAATTTTACTTTTTTTTTTTTTAAATAGTGGTTGGAGGGTACTTTGAAGATTTTATTTATTTATTTGACAGAGAGAGACACAGCAAGAGAGGGAACACAAGCAGGGGCAGTGCGAGAGGGAGAAGCAGGCCTCCCACGGGGCAGGGAGCCCGATGCGGGGCCCGATCCCAGGACCCTGGGATCATGACCTGAGCCGAAGGCAGATGCCCAATGACTGAGCCCTTTACTTTCTTAATAGAACTTCCCCTGACCACTCCCTTTAATATGACTCCCAAATCCTTTCTACCCTTCCCTCTTTATAAATATTTACAGACATTTTTCCATAGCACGTACCACCTCCTACCGCACTGTGAAATTTACTTTACTGTGTTGATGTTTCATGGGCTGTCATTATCTGTCTCTCCCCAGTAGAATGTATGTTCCACACAGAAAAAGAATTTTGTCTGATTTGTATTCACGGAAATGTACCCAGTGCCTAGCACCTGCGTGACACGGAACCGTGTGTTAATAATTATCACAAATGCAGAAGATCAAGTTTCAAAAAAAAGGTATTTGACAACATCAAATGCTGCTCACTGGAAGTTCAGTAAGAATGAAACCAAGTAGCCTTCGTTTGATTTGGGAAGTAGAGGCCCCAGCAGAGCATGCTGCCGAGGAGAAATTGAAATGCGTGAGTTCAGAGGAGGTCTGCTGCTTTTCAAGATGCGGTTTTGCTTCAGTTTCCTCGTCTGTAAAATGAGGTTAACAATGGAACCTACCTCAAAGTGTTAGATGGACTAAATAAGTGAACTTATAAAAGTGTTTAAAATAGTGAAATAGAGTAAAGGCTATCATAGTTATAAGATAAATGCTGTTCTATATATATTATATATAACATACATATCTACTAATAGTGAACTTTAAGGAATAACTTCAGTAGAGGTAAGGTTTCAGAAACGTTTTAAAAAGGTTCTGAGAAAATGGAAACTGACCTTTCTTGTTTGTCTTTTAAATGCTTTTTTGGGTGTGCACGTGTGCTGTTTGGGGGTGGGACGCAGGGCAGGCTGGTGTCATTCCCTTAGACCAGAGAGAAGAAGACTTGTCATAACTTCGCAGGAAAAAAAGAACTTCAGTTTTCAAGATGTCAACATCAGTGCTGGCTAGCCACCATAATCTCCATTTTGGATTTTGTAAGATGTCATTATTTCTTTAAAGTAAGAAATAAGGGAAACAACAATGACAATTCACTAGGCTTATTAAATTTTAGCAAAAAGTAAGGACCAGCCATTTTTGTAAGAATTCTTCACAGATGACTTCCAACATGAGTCTTTAAGGAGCGAATTTTTATTAGAGAGTGGAATGGAATTAAATCTTTAAGTCATAATTTATAGAGAGAACTGTGGTTCAAAAGGCATGCCTTAGGAGGCACTGAAATTTTACGCCCTGAACAGAAAACATCTTCAGTGATAAAGAATCTAAAAACAGATAAGAATCTGCTTTATCTGATATATAATATTAACATGATCTTTGTTCTCTAGGGAATTTTCTGTTTGGCAATATATTTCTTCATTTTTTTTAGGCTCTTTTTCCCATAGCAATATACATCTTTTCTAATAAAATGTATCTGAATTGGTCTCACCACCCAGCTACAGCAGGTGGTTTTTCTTTCACAAGAAAAGAAAGGACTAGCATTCTAAGAAAATAAATGAGCATATAAAAATTGGATATCATTCAGGGTAAGGCTAAGAAGGCTCCTATTTTCTTTTCACTTTTTTTTTTAAAGATTTATTTATTTGAGAGAGAGTACAAGTGGGAGAAACTCAAGCAGACAGCCCGCTGAGCATGGAACCTGATGCAGGGCTCCATCTCACAACCCTGAGGTCATGACCTGAGCCAGAACCAAGCGTTGGATGCTTATCCAACTGAGCCACCCAGGCATTCCAAGGCTCCTATTTTCTGGATGCATCCACTGAGTTGCCAAAATAGTCCCAGAGATAGCACCCTGAAAGGTTCTAGTTTAAAGCTAAAAAGGCTGGGTTAGCATTATTTTCATGTTTTAGAGCCCCCCCCCATTATTCTCTGCTCCCTTTCTTCATAGGCCAGACTCTTCCCAAGGTACTTTGTCATTTAAGGATCAGTAGAAGTATAACACATTAGAAGAGCTCAAAGAAAATTACAAAAGTGGATAAAGCCAGAAACATTTGACCTGTAAAGGCTAGGAGAGTTGGGACTATTTCAAAGGTAGGGAAACAATGTGTAGGCTAACTTCAACCAAACCACATGAAGGGTGTTGCACCCCCAGAATTGTGGACATGCTTGGTGACTGCCTAGGACTAAACCTGAATATTATTTTTGCCTTGAGCCTAGCAGGGACAGGGTATATTTTCAAGGGCTTCACATTTATAATTTTATCCAATATAACAACAGATCAATTATGCAACATAACACTGAAAGACAAAATAGGAAGTTAAATACGAGATATCTGACTTTGAAACAATAAATGAGTAGCAAGAAACATCAAACAAAAATTTTTCAAGACTGTCTTAATTAGTCATTAGAAATGACTAAAGTTCTACTTTCCTTTAGCCTAGTTTCAGGCACAGTTTAAGGAGAATTATCAGTGGTGTTCAAAGCTACTTGATGATCTTTGATACAATGTACCATGAAACCCTGAGAAT